CTCAGGGGCATCCTGAGGAAAGAAGACGGAAAACCAAAGCCAGGTGCCAGGACCCTGGGGCCACCTCATTATCCCCCACTCCTCCTGGCAGCAGTCTGGCCTTAGTGGTTATCCATAGCGACCCCCCTTAACCCACCTGGACCCTCTTCCCCTGACCTCTCTGTAGATGGTACAAGGGAAAAACCTGTCTTGGGCAGGCTGGGGGGGATTCTTCCGGTGAGTCCCCAGCCCACCCTGAGTAACACAACCAGATAACAGTCATTTTACATCCAGGTGCACATGAGCACAGCATACACATACTCACTGTCACTGTCTCTCTCTCTTTCACACACACACACACACACACACACACACACACACACACACAGCTCTCTTCCAGGGAGGGTCCTGGGTCCAGTCACAGTATGAGGTCCTCTCTCTTCTGAATATCATCCCAGTAGTGGCAGCAGAGAGTACCCAAACCTCCCCAAGCCCTCTGCATTGCAGACTCTGCAGCCTGCCTGGCTACCCCTCCCCAATGCGCACTAGATTACTATGTTAAACAGACCTGCGAAAGGGAAAGGTGCACACTCAGGTCCCTGAAGAGCAAAGAAGTTGGACACTGCCTGCTCAAGAAGTTCATCGTTGTAAGACTCAGGTATTCATAAAAGGCCTAGGGCCAAGCTAGTAGCACAGAACAGATGTTAAGGGGGTCACAGAATACACAGAGCAGAAGAGAAGAGTTGGCAGCAGGGAATGCAGTCTGAAGGTGACCAATGGAGAGCGCAGCATTCTCATATAGTCCTTGAGGTGCTGATTCCTGGGAGCAGTCAGCAGAGGGCCAGAACATCTTGTGGGGGTCCCTTTGGGGAAGGATGACTTCTCTTAGGAATTTTGGTGGGCAAAGAGCCACTGAGCTGTGTGTAAAGAAAGCCATGGCTCAGAAGGGAAAGACTGGTCTTCTGAGGAATCAAAAGGAAGCGGAGGCTGGGCGCGGTGGCTCACACCTGTAACCCCAACACTTCGGGAGGCCGAGGCGGGCAGATCACTTGAGGTCATGAGTTCAAGACCAGCCTGGCCAACATGGTGAAACCCCATCTCTACTAAAAAACACAAAAATTAGCTGAGCATGGTCATGTGCGCCTGTAATCCCAGCTACTTGAGAGGCTGAGGCAGAAGGATAACTTGAACCCAGGAGGTGGAGGCTGCAGGGAGCTGAAATCACACCACTGCACACCAGCCTGGGGGACAGAGCAAGACTCTGTCTCAAAAAAAAAAAAAAAAAAAATGAAGTGGGAAGCAGGAGGTCGTATCCAGAGGAATGTAAAGCCCCCAGAAGACCTTCTCCACAGAAGACTCTGTCAGTCTATTCAAGCCTAGCATTGCTCTGAAACTGATAAGGACTCAGTTTCAGAGCAATGCCAGGCTTGAATAGACTGACACAGAGGGCCCTTCTCTGCTGACAACTTTGGGAGTGACCCAAGCCACTTAAGTTTGGCTAAGTGTTTCAACCAATGTGCAAAACTTTACCCTGCACTTTGCTTCCTGCTTCTGGATTGAGAAAGTTCATATTTAGTTGTGAATCACAGGTATATAGAGACTTCACACACTAATTCCTAGGGAAGAGAGCTCCAAGGACCAGATAGAATTATCCTTAATCAGGAGATGATGAAATAGATGCTTAAGGCGCATAACTCAAAGCAGTGTGGATTTCATAGATATCCAACCTAAAGAAAATGATATAACCCAACATGGTTCACTTCCTTTCTTAAATAGCTACTTTGTCCCTGTTCAATTTTGTCTACATATATATTAAGAAAATCAAGCATCACTATAAATGGTAAACCTGAATCATTAAGTAGTACTGTGTTCCCCAGGCTGAGAACTTGGCTAAACCAGATGGATGAAAACATTCCATGGAAGACAATAGTAAGGGAAAATGCCTAGGCCTGATTTTCTGTCCTCCCTCTTATCACCAGCCCTCCCCTACTCAGGCCTGGATGGTGGGTGGAAGATACCACCAAGTGTTTATGATCATATAAACTAAAACATGGTTCTTAGGCTGTGAGATACTTCCGTCTTCCCTCTCAAACATGATCATGCACATTTGCCTACCAGCACACATAAAGAGACAGTGGAAAAGTCAGAGTGTTTTCAGGTTTTCTTTAAAAAAAAAAATCAAAAACCATGGACCTGGTAGCACTCCAATTTCCCATGATCCCACCCCCACCCTTCTACACAATAGAAACTGCACATGTAAGAGAAAGCCTTCTCTAGTCAGGTCAGCCTCCCAGAATGATGGCCTCTGCTGAGTAGAAGCAAGACCCAGCCCTGGAACACTGGGTAGAGTAGGCATGTGCTGCCTCTCAGAATACCCATTTACTTTCTGGCAACTTCAAAAGCCCAACCCTCCAGCAACTGGTTTCAGTTCCCTGCTGGGAAGGTTCCTGGATTCTTGGAGGCTGCTACAGTGATTTCCTAGAAGTGAATATAGAAATACCCCCTTCACCACCACCACCACCACCACCAACACATGCACGCACGCACGCACGCATCTCTGGGATCCCAGTGCTCCAGGGCCTAAGAGGCATCAGTATAACCCAGTTTCTGGGTGTATCCTATAAACTGGAGATTCAGTCTAGCTGACTCTTACTGCACCAGCCTCAACCTGAGAGCCCACTCCAACTAAGTCCCTTCACCATCCATTCTTGGGATGCATCTGAAAGAGAAAGCACTGGTTGGAACTGCTATTTTTAAATTATTAAAATAATTTGCATAGCTAAATTGTAGATCTAAGGCTTCCATGAGTAGAAGAGTTAAGTGTCTGGCAGGGTGCTTATGAAAACACAAAGCTTCTTAAGTTCCACTTTTGGTGTTATTGGACAGCAGACAAACACACATATACACATGCACCCCATCCAACATCTCCTTGTCTCTTCGCTGAGGCAATACCCCAGAGTCTGCTAAGGGCCTCCAAAGATGGAAACAGGCTGGTCAGAAGAGCTGCAGAAGCTCCTACTGGGATGATCTGACTAAGCTGCCTTCTGGGCTGGGAAGAGGCAGGTACAGCACCTGCCCAGTAAGGAGGGAGCCATGGGTAGGTGGTAAAGCTCTAAAGCCAAAGTTTGTTCATTATAAAGAACTGTCTGGAAAAGTCTTGGGCTGGGGGATGCAGAGGGGTTAAGGACACAAATAGGAAGACAGCCAGCGTTTAGCCTTAAGGACTAGATGACCCTCCCCTGGCATTGGCAATAAGGGGAGACCCAGAATGACTGGTGTGTTTTTTTGTTTTATTTTTGAGACGTAGTCTCTGTTGCCCAGGCTAGAGTGCAGTAGCGTGATCTCGGCTCACTGCAACCTCCACCTCCCAGGTTCAAGCGATTCTCTGGCCTCAGCCTCCCAAGTAGCTCTGGCTACAGGCGGGTGCCACCACGCCCGGCTAATTTTTTGTATTTTTAATGGAGATGGGGTTTCACCATATTAGCCAGGATGGTCTTGATCTCCTGACCTTGTGATCCACCTGCCTTGGCCTCCCAAAGTGCTGGGATTACAGGTGTGAGCCACCGTGTCACTGGCGTGCTCTTTTAAGAAAAAGTCCAGACTTAGGGCTCCTACACACAAAAGGGCTCCTCCATGTTCCCTCAGAGATGGAGGCAGCAGACACCAGGCCTACATGGAGCACCTAAAGATATTTCCTAACAAGAAATCTATAGTCCCTCAACCCAGCAACCACCTATCCACAGCTTCACTGTTCAGCATAGAGAGCCAGCCTCTAAGGTCATCCCAGGACACAGCTCCAAATCGGGGATCTCTTACTTCCCAATTACAAACTCCATGATCACAACTTTCAATTTCTGTGGAATGAGTCTCACCCTCTACTAACTATCCAGTCTCAGGATTCCCTGATCTTCCTGAAAAGCCATCTCTTGAAAATAGTTTAATCCAAATCTTGGTCAAAACTAACTCCTTCCCTGGTCAATTTACCATCCATCCAGGATTGTTTCACCAGTGGCTATGGGGTCTGGGATATCTTAAAGCTTCCCTATCTCTAACTCTCCTTACCCGTAACCTCCCCCTACCCCACCCCTAAATAAACAAGACGTATGAAAAGTCCAAGTAATAAATAGTTGCCCATAAGAAATAAATTAACATGGAGCTCTCTAAAGGGGAAGGAAAGGAACAGGAAAGACTACGAGGATAGGCAGCTGGGGGCTCAGTTCTACCCGTGAGAAATGTCTTTTCCAGCCACAGCTTTCACTTACATACTGCAGTGCTTCTCCCTCCCAGCCTCTGCACACAGACAACCTTCCGTGTTGGAAAGGGAGAGCTACTCAGAGATAACCACCAGGGTTAAGAGACATAGATTGGTAATGCCCATTTTCTCTCATGAATTCCCCCAAATTCTCAAACAAATGTGGCTCTGAAAATCAGGGACTTGAGTTAGTGGGGCCTTCTCTTCACCCAACCAGAAGGAAACTTGTGATTTCCATGGCTCTTCTGGGCTCACCCTGATGTTCACACTAATGGGTGCCATGAACCACCAAACTCTGATTTCCATTTAAAGAAAGATAAATTCATTTTTCAGTTTCCCTCTTAGTTCTTCCCTCCCTCCCTCCCCTCCCACCTTCACCCCTGCTCTGTTCCATATGTGTACATACATACATAAACATACATACATACTCACAAACACACATACCTGGTCAGCTTCCTTCCCACCCCCTAAAAACCCCACTTCACATGGGATCACAGTCTGCTCCCCTGCCCACCTCCTTTTCTCACTCATTCTCCCTCCCTTCCCTACCCTCCCCAGGCCAAGCTAAGTCACCCAGTAAGGCAGCTCTCTTGGGAGAGAATGTTCCCAAAGACAGAAATGGGATGTGCACTTCTACACTCAGATGGGCGAGCAAGCAAGCAGACAGCATAAGCAAGGCAGGAAGGAAAAGAGGCTGCACTGCCGCTCCATCCCTGTTTTGGTTCCCTGATTTCCCGCTATTGCTGCTCTGTTGGACTTTTTTCTTTTCTTTTTTTTTTTTTTGCCTCTTTTGTTAAACAGCAACAGAGCTCTGCCCTTATGGCTAACCACCCTCCTTTGTTCTCTTCCTTTTCCCTCCTGCCAAGTGTCCTTTTCTCAAAAAGTCCAAATTACTGCCTTCCAGCTTGGTGGGCAACCTGCTGGGGGCCCCGAATGAGGTGGGAAGGGGCTCCCCAGCTATTTCCCAGTGACCTCTATCACATCATCGTCCTTATCCTCATCATCATTGGAGCTGAACCCCACCTCAGCAACCTCATGAGAGTCAAATGGAGGCACCTGGGACCGAAGGAGGCCACCAGCTGGGTAGCCTGCATGTGGGGACATGTAGCCTGGATAGATAGACATGCCCCGCGAAAGGTTGCTGGGCAAGACAGGGGAAGGAAAAGGCGCAAACATCCTCGGCTCGGACAGGAGTGGCTGTGAGAATGGGAGTGAATAGCTGGGTAGTATCCCTGGCACAGAAGGGTTGAGCATGAAGGAGGGGTTGCTGGCAGTGACTGAGGTAGCCGTGGAAGAGGAACTGACGGGGCCTGCTGGCACCAGAGGGTCAGTAGTCACTGGAAACACCAGGCGGGCATCTGCCAGCAAATTGGACAGCTGGTAGTAGGAGGGGGTACTGCCCATAAACAGGGAGTTCTCCCCAGCCTGGGAGGTGAAGGGAGTGGTGAGGTTATGGTTTAAGGAGACGGGTGGCATGGCAAACCCGCCAGACACTGGATACCCATGTTCATACGGCTGCACGGGGGCTGGCAGATGACCCTTCCTGGACCGCCGGCGGGATGACTCCTGGGCAGCAGGTGGTGTGGCCAACTTTCGCTTGTGGCCCCTTAAGTCCAGCACTGGGTGCCTATCACCACAGGGCTGGCCAGTCACCAAGAGGGAACTATTGAGGCAATGACCCCCTAGTCGAGGCTCAGTTCCAAGAGCTGTCCCAGGAATAGCACTGCTATCCACAAGTTGGGCTGGTTGGCCAGGCAGGGCGGCACTGATGCTTGGGGAGCTCTGACGGGATTCCCGGGCAGCAGCCACATCTGCATACTGCTGAAGCTCACTGATGATCTCTGGGCTGTCGGGAGAGACGGGCCTGGCCAGCCCCTCAGGGTCAGGGGCTTTGGGTGATGAGGCACTGTGTCTGCCGTTGCTTGTGGACTCGCGAGAAGGTCCCTGGGAACCTGGGGACAAAATGTAGGTAACTGAGAACCAGAGTGGCCAGGGACAGAAGAAGGGTAGAGGAGAAAACTTCATTAAAAAAAAAATCCTGTCTTGTAGTCCCCAAAATTCTAATTGTTTGATGTCTAAACAACATCACCCAGTCAACCTTTTCCAGTCACAAAGAAAGAAATTCTTTGATCCCAGAAACAAGTCTATCCATCACAAGGCATATAACTTTTCTGTACCTCAGTTCCCCAAACTATAAAACTATACCAAAGTGAATCCTGGCTGGGCGCAGTGACTCACGCCGGTAATCCCAGCAATTTGGGAGGATGAGGTAGGCAGATCATGAGGTCAGGAGATCAAGACCATCTTGACCAACATGGTAAAACCCCATCTCTACTAAAAATACAAAAATTAGCTGGGCATGGTGGCACACGCCTGTAGTCCCAGCTACTCAGGAGGCTGAGGCAGGAGAATTGCTCGAACTCAGGGGACGGAGGCTGCAGTAAGCCGAGATCGCGCCACTGCACTCCAGCCTGTGTGACAGAGCGAAACTCCATCTCCCAAAAAAAAAAAAAAAAAAAAAATAGAATCCCCTCCCCCGCCAAAAAAAACCCCAAAGTAAATCCTGTGAGATAAGGGATATGAAACGCTAAGAGATTATTCTTAAAACTAGTCAGGCATTTTCTGGCAGTAAGAGACAGTGATCAGTGTGGGAGAAAAAGGAAAATAAAGCTAAAAAAACAGTTCATTCTGATTTAAAAAGAAAACAAAATCCATAGCTATGAAAGTCAACTGGGACAAATGGGAAATCTCAATTTTGGCCTGAATACTAGGTAATTTTATGGAATTGTTAGCACTTTTCTTTTAGTGTAATAATGATATTGTGGCTAAGAACAGAATATCTTTAATCTTAACAGATGCATGTTGAAATATTTAGAGATAAAATGACATGATGAAAAAGATGACATGATGTCTTCAACTTAGGAATGACTCATAATAGAAAGGGAGGAAGAGAAAGAAGGTTTCTAAAAACTAACAATCATTAAATCTAGGTGCAGAGTATAAGGGTGCTCATGGTGCTATTTTTCAACTTTTCTGTATGTATGAAAATTTAAAATTTCCACAATACAAAGCTGGGAACAAGGGCATTCTAGCCCTCTAACATTCTAGCTCAGGAGTGGGAGGATAATTGAGAACTACTCCCACTTAGGGGAACTTGGCAAGAGTTCTTAACATTGTTCATGTGCCACACATATACCCTTTGACCTGGCAATCCCACTTTAAGAAACATATCCTATTATAACCACCTTTGTGAAAAAGCACTGTCAGTGATGGTAGAGTACAATAATCATAATGTATGTTGACAGGGAACTAGTTGATACATTGTGTGTTATAGCTCATCCTGTGCAAACCTTCAGTGAAACATTTCTAGAAGAAGTGATAAGGAATAAGGTATTACTACTGGTAAGTGAAAAAAGAAGTGTGATATTTTATAGTATGTTAGCATTTGTTTTAAAAAGAAAAAGAAAATTGGCCGGGCACAGTGGCTCACACCTGTAATTCCAGCACTTTGGGAGGCCGAGGTGGGTGGATCACTTAAGGTCAGGAGTTTGAGATCAGCCTGGCCAACATGGTGAAACCCCATCTCTACTAAAAATACAAAAATTAGCTGGGCGTAGTGGCACGCACCTGTAATCCCAGCTAATCAGGAGGCTGAGGCAGGAGAATCATTTGAACCAAGGAGGCGGAGGTTGCAGTGAGCTGAGATTGCACCACTGGACTCCAGCCTGGGTGACAGAGCAAGATTTTGTCTCAAAAAAAAAAAAGAAAATGTATGCACATATTATATATATGCATTTGTGCATGTGTGGGCGTGTGCAAGCGCATGCGCGCACACACACACACACACACATACTCACTCTCTCTCTCTCTCTCTCTCTCTCTCTCTCTCTCTCATATGCACACACAATCCTGTACCATATAGAAAATATCTGAAAAAGGCCGGGCGCGGTGGCTCACGCCTGTAATCCCAGCACTTTGGGAGGCCGAGGCGGGTGGATCACGAGGTCAAGAGATCAAGACCATCCTGGTCAAAATGGTGAAACCCCGTCTCTACTAAAAAACTACAAAAAAATTAGCTGGGCATGGTGGCGCGTGCCTGTAATCCCAGCTACTCAGGAGGCTGAGGCAGGAGAATTGCCTGAACCCAGGAGGCGGAGGTTGCGGTGAGCCGAGATCGTGCCATTGCACCCCAGCCTGGGTAACAAGAGCGAAACTCCGACTCAAAAAAAAAAAAAAGAAAATATCTGAAAAACCAATGAGAACACCACCTCCAAGGAGGAGCAATGAATGGCTGCAACCATGATAGAGGAAAAACTTACTTTTCATTTTACCCCTTTTTGTACATTTTGAATGTGAACCATGTACATATTACCTATTCACAATACCTAACCAAAACAAAGAAAACAAATGTTGTTTGGAAAGTAAAAGCCATCATACCTGAGGCAGCCATTCGACCATCTTCAGGAACCTTTGGTTTGCCCGTTGCCCGGACGGCAAAGATCCGTCCATCACTGGTACGGATGTACGTCCCTAAGAACAGACATAAGTAAGACAGTTAGAAGCAGAAATGCAATACAGTCAACCCTGGGAAACTCCAGGCTACATGCCAGGGGCTTGTACACAGCTATACAATTAGGTAATATACCATCTCCCAAGAACCCTGAAATAAGGGGTGGGGTGACTGAGCTATGGACTCATAATTATTCATTTATTTCACAAACATCGGTTACATGACTACCATGTGCCAGGCACTGTTCTAGACACTAGAATGCACAAGGCAGAAAAAGGCCCTGTCTCATGGAGCTTAGTCTCTTGAGAGGGAGACAGACTTACACCAGAAAATATCAGGAAGGGTTAAATGCAATGGAGAAATAAATAAGGTGCTACAAAAGAGAAGAAGTTGGCATCCTATGTTCCCAGGTACTCTGTCCCAGGTCCTCCTCTTGATTTGGGAGGAAGGAGCCTTACTGCTTCAATATACTCTCTCCCCTAGTAGGAATAATCCAAGAAAGACCTGCATTCGCCGGGCGCGGTGGCTCACGCCTGTAATCCCAGCACTTTGGGAGGCCGAGGCGGGTGGATCACGAGGTCAAGAGATCGAGACCATCCTGGTCAACATGGTAAAACCCCATCTCTACTAAAACTACAAAAAAAAATTAGCTGGGCATGGTGGCGCGTGCCTGTAATCCCAGCTACTCAGGAGGCTGAGGCAGGAGAATTGCCTGAACCCAGGAGGCGGAGGTTGCGGTAAGCCGAGATCGCGCCATTGCACTCCAGCCTGGGTAACAAGAGTGAAACTCTGTCTCAAAAAAAAAATAAGACCTGCATTCTATTCCCACAAGGCACTAATCTACCTTCTCTTCAGCCTTGGATATGTCATTTGATCAACCCCCTCGAATGTCAGTGCTGCCTTTAGGCCAGGGGTTGGCAAACTTTTTTACAAGAACCAGATAGCTTTTATAAGGGCTTTGTAAGTCATATGGTCTCTGTTGTAACTCCTCAATTCTGCTGCTATAACACAAAAATAGGTAGATATGACTGTGCTCCAATAAATCTTTATGGACACTGAAATGCAAAATTCATATAATTTCATAGGTCACAAAATATTACTCTTTTGATTTTTTTTTCCCAACCAATTATAAATGTAAAACTCATTCTTATCTTGCAGGTATTATAACAGGTAGCAGGTTGGATTTGGCACATGGGACATAGAGTTTGCTAACCCCTGCTATACACTAGGAAGACAGCAGTAAAGGGAGCTGGGTTTAGACTAGGATGATTCCAGTAAGGAGGCTGGGAATGGTGTTCTCTGTGATTGTTTCATGGTACTTTTTCCCTAACCTCAAAGGTACTCTAACCCAATAGAGGCTAGGGCAAAGTCTCCTTACTGCATAAAAAACCTCAAAGAGCCTCACACAATGATGGGCCTTAAAGGCTAATATATAAAACAGGCTTGGTTAGATGTGGGTACAGAAAAGAGGTGGGAAAAACAAGCTTAGATTGTGTCTCAACACTGTTTAGCCCAGATTTTTTATTCCACCAACCTCATATCCCTCTGTAAGGAGGACAGAGGCAGATGTGAACTTTTAAAATTACCATATGCAAAAATTCTACCATGCAACCCATGAGTAATTCATCCACACAATATATTTCCTATCAGGGGACCCCCACCCTGCTTCAAGCAAGTGGGTAAAAAATATATGTAGGCTTATAACCCATTCCACCGCTCTTTCCCTCCAATTTTGGTCTCCTTGTATCTACTTGTCCCAAGATTCTCAAAAAAATGACAACAGGATACAGTAATGTAGGGACCCTAATTTCCTTCTTTTAAACCACTGACTAATATCCTATTGGGCTCAACCCAACTCCACTAAGCTCCTACAGATGCTATTTTCTAATTCAGTTCCCAAATGTGATATCCTAATGGGATGATTCCTATTCCCTGTCTAGCTTAAGCCATATACATTTATTCTTCTTCTCAGCTCAGCACTCTCAACCAAAGGCAGGGGGAAAGTCCTTGGTCAGGTTCTCACCTTTTGTCCCACGGATGATGTGGATGCTCTCACCAGCATTAATTCTTGCCTGTACATCTGTGGTGCTGTTGAGTCCAGGAATAACAATATCTAGGAAAAACACAGATCTTAAATTTAGATTAAACAGGGCCTGACTGAAGGAGAGGGGAAAAACTGCAAAGTCCCACATGTACCCCAGTTCTTCATTGGTTTCCCTACAGCCTCTCAGTGGGACGGAGATCCAGAACCAAGGAAGGTGAAGCAAGCAGGGTCTTTCACAATCATCTAAACAAAGAATGCTATGAAAACAGGAACCTTGTCAGAAATCTGAGCTGATCATCTTTGCAAGCAATTTCCCTTGATTTAATTAGAAATTCATAGTTTTTGGTGTGAAAAATGTTTTAGTTCAGATAGTTGTTTCTATGTCTTTTTTTCCTCCTCCCCAAACTATTTGCATATGTCTGCTCCACATTGCTTTAGGCTCCGAAAATGGCATCATCTTTTTCCTGGCTGGCATTATCCCACACCTGGGAAAGAGTATTTTCAGGAATTAGTAGATAATAGGATTACAAGGGGCTCTTTATTCCACTTGTTTCAAATTTTTTACTTAGAAAAATCAATTAAGACATTTTCATTAAAATTTATGTATTGGCCGGGTACAGCGGCTCACGCCTATAATCCCAGCATTTTGGGAGGCCAAGGTGGGCAGATTGCCTGAGGTCAGGAGTTCAAAACCACCCTGGGCAACATGGTAAAACCCCATCTGTACTAAAATACAAAAAAAAATTATTCAGGCATGGTGGCGCATGCCTGTAATCCCAGCTACTTGGGAGGCTGAGGCAGGATAATCACTTGAGCCACCCTAGGCAACATGGTGAAATCCCATCTCTACTAAAATACAAAATAATTAGCTAGGCATGGTGGTGCACTTCTGTAATCCTAGCTAGTTGGAAGGCTGAGGCGGGAGAATTGCTTGAGCCCCGGAGGCAGAAGTTGCAGTGAGCCAAGATGGTGCCACTGTACTCTTGCCTGAGCAAGACTCCATCTCCAAAAAAAAAAAAAAAATTAAATTTATATATTATAAATATTGCTAAATAACAAGATAAAAACAGGATCACAAAATGTTTTCCTTCCTAATCATACTGAATCACAGAACCAACTCCTGGAGTGGATGGGGTTCATATGCTCAATTTATATCAAACTCGAAAAGGAAGAGGCAAGAGACAATTCAGGTCTTCTAATTATGTGCAAAGGTTGACAGCTGACTATTATACTCAGATGGCTGTACAGTCAGGCAGGGCTCAGCATATTCACACCTCTGTAAGAACCTGAGACCAACCCTGAGTTCCAGTGACATTTCCACAATTTCTGCAGTGCTCAGAGTCTATACCACCCACCAAATCCAAGAAAACCTAGTTCTTTATTGTTATTCTTAAGATATTTCACTAGAATCCAAATTCCTCAAGACCAGCAACTGTTGTCTTCCCTATTTTTACCAACAGTGCCAAGATAGTAAGGCCAAAAATACAAAAGGTGTTTAATACATTATTTTCTAAATGAACAAAGTAATTTTAAAAGGGACAGCACCTCTGTAACAGAACCTAGGAGTTCCCACCTGTTGTGGTGACCACCTTCTGCACAAGGACTCCTGCACGCTGCAAGTAGTTGATTGGAAAGTTCATGGATGGATTTGTGCTGGAGGCAGAGCTTACACTGCCTCCCAGTGGGACATGCCGGGGCATCATAGGGATGGGGGTGGACTGTACAGGACGAACACTGGCCACAGGCTTTTCATCACCCTTCAAAGTTGGCTGCCTATAAGAGAAAGATAAGGACACTAAGAGAATTTGGCAGAACAACTCTTGCCTTTCTCCAAAGGCTACAGAGCCTCTCCAGACTGCCCCATTCTACACCATCAGTTGCTGCTCAGAGAAGGATCAGAAGAACTCACAGGGTCTGGTCGACTCAAAAGGAGACTAGAAGGCAGGACTTAGTTGCAGCAAAAGAGACAGAGGGAAAAAGTCTGTCCAAGTCTAAGGAGAATCAGATGTTGGTGGAATAATGCTTTCTGGAGATGGGAGACAATATTTGCTCCTCTAGAATCTGGACTACCTACATTAGGAGTTGGTCCCTGAAGGGAAGTCAGGAAGCTGTCAAGATGTAATAAGGTAGGAAAAGCTCTTCAGACCACAGCATATGCTAAGTTGAGACGGACAGAATTTTCCCCACTCACCCATGGAAAAGGGGGCCATGTAATGCCACAACTTTAACCTCTTTACTTTCTCCCAGAAAAAAATAGTCTGTCCCAACTTTAACCATCTTTACTTTCTCCCTGAAACCTTGAGTCTCAATAAGTAATACAGACACCTCTCTCTCTTCTGCATTACTTTTCACTGAGTTCCTCCTAGCTCCTGCCTGGCCCAACCTCCAAAGTGCCCCTCCAGTCATGATGACAACAAAAGCAGCAGCAGCCAAAGCACTGTGTACAAAAGATAGGCTCATACTGATTTAAGATTTTTGAAAAGTCCCTGTCTACAAGCTTTCTGAAGTCCAAATCTTTGGTCTCTGGGCCTGGGGGGGAGCAGGGCGGGGGACCCTTGGACTGGTATGTTCTTCCTTATCTGACTAAAGATTGGCATATAAAATAACATTTTTATACCACTCTGCTGTTGGAGCTGGTCTGCAAGACTCCTCGATCACATTGCTCTTAGGTTTTTAAGGGCCCCATTGAGCAGCCCTTGGTCCCTGTGGACCTCCAAGTTCCCAGATGGGCCCCAGACTTGTGCTGTCTGGCCTGTTTCCCCAATGTCTTCCTAGAATGGTTTGGCAGGAGTTAGAGGCCCTGGTCAGGTATCAGTGTGACAGAAACCCAGACCATGTCCCATACCCTGCAGGTGCTAAGACTAAGAATTTGGGTAGGAAGTGTTCCTGGCATGTACCCATGTGGATAAAAAACTCAGCAGGGAGGCAGAAGAATCGCTTGAACCCAGGAGGTGTAGGTTGCAGTGAGCCGAGATTGTGCCACTGCACTCCAGCCTGGCGACAGAGCAAGACTCCATCTCAAAAAAAAAAACAAAAAACCTTAGCAGGATCATGGTATAACTCATCAAATGCTATGAGAAGCTGGTGCCTCCATAGGGTCAGAGCTAAGCCAAAAACAAAGCTGACATCTCCTTAAAACCAGCCTGAGCTATTTGTCACATCTCTTCATGTGGCTTTTCTCTCACTAGGCTCAGGTTCAGTCTACTCCTGATGTTACACAGAAAAGCGCAAAAGAGAGAGAGGAAAAAAAAAAGGAGGGGTGGAGGAAAAAAGAAGAGACTATTCCCAAGCAATACTCTCTTCGGAAATGACAGAAATGAAGTCTGAAAGTTTTAAAAGAGAGTGACTTTCTCTTTTGAGTTTGGGTCCCACTATGTTGTCAAAGCTGGTCTCCAATTCCTGGACTCAAGCGATTCTCCCACCTCATCCTCCCAAGAGGCTGGGACTACAGGCATGTGCTACCATGTCTAGCAAAGCAGTGACTTCTACTTGAAAGCATCTTCAATTTGCTATTAAAAAAAAAAAAAAAAAAAAAAGCAACAAATGGCTGGGTGTGGTGGCTCATGCCTGCAATCCCAGCACTTTGGGAGGCTGAGGCGGGTGGATCACTGGAGTTCAGGAGACCAGCCTAGCCAATATAGTGAAACCCCATCCCTACTACAAATACAAAAAAATTGCCAGGCATTGTGGTGTGCACCTGTAATCCCAGCTACTTGGGAGGCTGAGGCAGGAGAATCACTTGAACCTGGGATGTGGAGGTTGCAGTGAGCCGGGATCGCACTGCACTCCAGCCTGGACGACAGAGACTCCATCCCCCACACCAAAAAAAAAAAAAAAAAAAAAAAAGGCAAGAAATCCACTCATTAAAAATCAGTGTCTCATCTAAAACTTTACATGAGACCAGTAGGCAGAACCTCATTTGGCCAGTTTTCTAAAACTTGCAAAATTTCATTTCCTCTAGAACCAAAATTTGTCAAGTTTTTTTGTTTGTTTTTAACATGAGGATCTTTTTTTTCCCCCTAAACATTGGGTACTCATGGAGAGGATCTTAATAAGAAAAAGAATTTTAGGCTGGGCACAGTGGCTTATGCCTGTAATGACAACATTTTGGGAGGCTGATATGGAAAGTTCACCTGAGCCCAGGATTTCAAGACCAGTCTGGGCAACGTAATAGACATGTCTACCAAAAAATATATATATATTTTTTTTAATTAGCCAGGCCTGGTGATGCACACCTGTAGTCCTAGCTACTCAGAAGGCTGAGTGGGGAGGATCACTTGAGCCCAGTAGGTCAAGGCTGCGGGGAGCTGTGATCATGCCACTGCACTCCAGCCTGGGCAACAGAGTGACACCCTGTCTCAAAAAAGAAAAAGAAAATTTAAATCTGTTCCCATCAAGGAAAATAATTATTTTTAATCAAGATAATCAAATAATTAAAAGTAGAAACTATTGAATCAGATAGCTGATCTGATCAGTAAGTGAAGGGTGAGAGCTGTGAGGCACTGTCTTAAAATTAAAAAAAAAGATTAAACCTAGATAATTGTTCTGTACTATCTTACAAGGAGCCTCTCTCTGCTTAGCAGTTGGCTTCTATTCTGTTAATATTCTGAACAAGTCTAGATGTTGTACTCAAAACAGAAATTTTTTTGTTCTGGATCATGACACAGCCACTCCATTTAAGAATGAAATCCCCTTAGGAGCAGCAGGATTCCCTGACTGTAATCCAAGAGAACAGAGTCTTCATTCTTGAACATCACTGCTAAGTGAAGCCTAGGACTAAGGTGCTAGGGGTAAGATGCACCTGTGTGGAATGGCTGGGCCTCTGTGTTTTGGGAAGCTTTATCCCCCACTCCTACCCAGGTGTCCAGAAGGACTCTCCTGGGTCACAAGGCTAGCAGCTCACTCTTCCAGCTAGGGCAGTCAAAAGCAGAACCATTTAAAACACCAGGGCTACTGAATTGCTTTCACACCCACCCTAGAGCAGAGCCTGTCAATTCACAGCAGCCAAGGAACAAGCTGTAGGCTCTGCCTTTGTTTAAAATATGAACAAGTTGAAAAGTATTTGTGCCCAGCCCAACAGCAAACCCTCCCCTTTCAGCGACTCACCAGTTTCTCTGGCTGAAGGCGGGGATGCTGGTCAGGCTCTGATCGCTGGCAGGGTAATACTGCGCATACGATGGGCGGGTATAGGGGACTGATGTGCGTTTGTCTTCCTCATAGCTTTTCTTTGCTGCTTTTTTCTCAGCCTTGGTCAGCTTGTGATCCTTTCGGTTGAGGAGCAATGACTCATGCTCGAAAGGCTCCTGGGGACACAGGAGGATGCTGATTTAGTTATGAATATGGCTGATGGATAATGAGCCTTACTTTAAAATTAAGAAAAGAGCTGGCTGTCTCCAGCACTAGTCAAGAGACTGCTCAGAAATACACAGGAGGGTTTATTGTCTTTCTGTCAAGAGTATAATTTATAACTCTAACCTAGTACCAGCTTTAGACATCTAAGCCTGCCTTCCCTATCAAAAGAATGCAAGAGTTCAGAGAATTAACAGACTACATTTTCGGAACTTTCCCCCTCTCTTTCTGCTAAGAAGACTCACACTAGCCAAATTATTACACATGGCTAACCTTAGCATTCCCAGGACCAGATTAGGAGGGGGTAAGTGGTTGGGGGCAGAGAGGGGCACTGAATGGGGCAAGAAAGAGAAGCCCTTCAGTCCAAGTCGCCTGCATGAAACATCACCTCAGATGAAGAAAACAAGCTTACAAGACAAGCCTCCCTTGACAAAGAGACTGCCATTCTGGGGACTGCATGCATAGCAAGTTCTTACCTTGGTGATGAGGTGAGGGTACTTCAGACAGGCCAGTTGCAGGACTGACTCCTTGATCCCCTTTATGTTCAAGGAAACTTGGGGAGCTGGCTCCTTCTCAACAAAGTGCAGTAAGTTTTCCACTTCCTTCCGGGTGAAGTTCAGCATTGGATTTAGATCATCCACCACCCGATCTAGAAGGATAAATTCATGGAGAAAGTCAGCACATGGCATTAAAAACTGTAAAGGTCAACAGACAGAAGTGGCATAACTGTCAATAATAATGAAAAGTCATCCCATATCTGAAAGTCAAAGACTAAGTCTGAGGTCCTGGTGATACTGGAAACATCATATAAGAGAAACTTGTATAATGAGCTTGGCTGTTATCATTAAACTCATGTTCAACTAGTTGAGGTCAATCACCTTTTAAACAATTACTTAATCAGAATGAGAGAGGAGGAAATGTCTTTCTATGATTCGAAGCCTGCCTTTGTTCACATATCCTGCTCCTCCTCTCCCACCCTTAAGACTAAAAGGATGGTAGCCTGTATAGATGTGCCTCTCTGAAGTCTGGAAGATGGCCCACCTGACATGCCCTGCTTGGAAATCTGACGGTCATAGATCTTCTTTTCAAGAGTGTAATCAGCCACAAGTCGATAGATGTAACAGGGCTTTTTCTGGCCATAACGGTATACCCGACATACTGCCTGGGCATCATGGCAAGGGTTCCAAGAAGCATCAAACACCACCACTCGGTTGGCACCAATCAGATTCACACCCAAGCATCCGGCCCTTTAAAAGACAAGCCAACAATCACAGAGCCTTTAATCTTAAAAAAGGTTTTCACATCAGTTTTGCCGTCTATGACTTCTACCCCAATATTACTCTGTCCTAAGCCCTAAGCACAACATACTCAAGGATTTTACTGTCCTGCTGATAAACAGTACATTCCTCAAGCACTGAAAATTGTGCCCTGAAATCGAACATGAAAGTGTCTACCAGCTCAGAAAAAAAACTCTCTCCTCTTCTCTGTAACAAGTAAGGCCTCCACATCCTGGCCTTGGAGTGATGTTCCCTGATGAGGAGAAACTTCTGCACACAGATGTTTCCACTATTTTTAGTGTAAAAGCTTAGGAGAATGACTGGCTCACACTGTCCCAAGGGTGTTATGATGGCAGAAGGCAGCACAGACTTCAAGCTGCTTGGCATGAGACAATGACATTAGCCTTTTACAGTTACCTTGCACTTTCTACTTTTTAAAGCACTTTCACATTCATCACATCATCTAAGCCTCAGAACAGTCCTGAGAGAAAAGCCAATTAAAACCCTTGGATTTTTTAATTCATGTTGTTTGCTTGTTTTTTTTTTTAAATGAGACAGGGTCTCACTCTGTCACTTAGGCTGGAGTGTAGTGGCTCGATCACAGCTGCCCTGCTAACCTAATTTCCTTCTGAAGTCCCCTCTCTGACCCCAAAAACAAGTTACAAACCAGACTGATCTCTTCTGATGGAACTTGAAGTTTTGGGGGACCAGCACAGGTGGCCAACTGCCTGAACAGACTCCTTTGACCTCCCGTCTCAGGATCCACTCACCTTGTAGAGAGAAGAAACAGCCAGGTGGTGAGGTTGCTGGGATCATTGAACTGATTAATGAGCCGCTCCCTCTCAAAGGCAGGGGTGCTACCATCTAGCCCTAGGAAGGAAGGAAAACCATAAGAAGTGGATATATTAGAGAAAGGATACACAGCAAAATCACTGGGCAAATGTGTTTTAAAGAGCAAAACAAACAAACACAACAGTGCTCAGATCCCACCCCTTGGATATATCACAGATCTACAGTGAGGCCCAAGCATCCATAATTTGAAAATATCCCCAGGTGATTCTCACATGCATCATGGATTATAAACTATATTTCTTCCCTTTAGTATCTTAAGTCAATTCTAAAGCCAAGGATCCTAGACTCTGGAGTGTATATTAATCACCTAGGGAATTTGTAAAATACTGGCTCAGGGTGACCTCTCTGCCTCAGCCCTGTGAGTCCTGGTGAGTGAAGAAGGACTAAGGGTTTTGTGTTTTGATATAGATGATGTTCCTCCACCAGGAATCTGCATTTTTAACAAGCTCCTGAGGCTAAGAACTTGCTATAAGGAGATATAAAGGAAATACATATGGAACAGTAGGATGGAACGCATAAATAAAAGGAGGAAACCTCAAAAGAGGGAGAAAAAATAGCCTTCAGGACCAGGCACGGTGGCTCATGCCTGTAGTCCCAGCACTTTGGGAGGCGGGTGGATCATGAGGTCAAGAGATTGAGACCACCCTGGCCGACAGGGTGAAACCTTGTCTCTACCAAAATACAAAAATTAGCTGGGTGTGGTGGTGCACACCTGTAGTCTCAGCTACTTAGGAGGCTGAGGCAGAAGAATCACTTGAACCCGGGAGGTGGAGGCTGCAGTGAGCTGAGATCCCGCCACTACACTCCAACCTGGTGACAGAGCGCAACTCCATCTCAAATAAAAAATAGTCTTCAGTTAAGCAGCAGCATAAACGGTGAGTCAGGGCAACACCTGTCATCTTGAGTGAAGGGCAAAACTAAGGGCATGAAATACCATATGGAAAACTGAATTACTACTGGTTGTAGGAAGCAATAGTTTAATTGCCTAGTACTGGGGTTCTATGTCAGGACCCCAACCTACCTTTCCAACCTGAGTGCCAACGTTTCCAAGCACAGCTCACCACTGATTCACAGGGCAAGCTCTAAGCCAGACCTTGTGTTGTGGGTCTTCTTGCTACTCCCTGAACCTCCAATTCTCTAAATCCTTCCATCAGGGCAGTGGTTCTCAATGAGGGTGATTTCTCCACACACCCACTCCCCACAGGACATTTGGCAGTGTCTGGAGATATTTTTGGTTGTCAAAACTGAGAGATACTATGCCATCTAGTGAGTAGAAACCAGGGATGCTACTAAATGTCCTACAATGTACAGGACAGCCCCTTAAACAACAAAGAATTATCTGGCCCAAATGTCAACAGTGCTGAGGTCTATATTTCTCAACTTTTTTTTCATTACCACCCCACTAAGGAATAATTTTTCCCCCAATGACACTATGTCCTCCATGAAATTTAATACCACAGATATACTGTATACCTGTTAATGTACATCTGTGACTTACACATTTTAAAAGTTAAGATTTCCATCCCCACCAAAAAACAAAAAAACAAAAAAAAAACACACACACAATGTTCATCCCCTTAAAGTATTATCTCCCCCACAGAGAATGCATAATCTAGGCTTGTGTTCACTCTGATCTTTCAGCCTGGAATAATCTTCAGACCACACTAGACCTGTATATTCAAATCCTCCCCATTTTTGAGAAGCCTTCCCCAATCATCCTCACCACAGTGATTCTATCCTCTTTGGAGCCCCAGTTAGAGCATTAAATTGTTCTTGAATTGTCACATCTCAGATGAAGAGAAGGCCTATGCCTTCTATTTCTCTATACTCTCCCATCTCTCTCAATCCTCCCAATCCCTAGTACTACAGTACCTTGTACACAACAACCAGTTCTTAGTATCCCCCTGCTCCTTGGCTAATCACAAATATTCCTATGCATTTGATGGAGTGGAGAAAGACAGAGAGAAGGAAAGGAAATCCTTAAGCAGACCTTGCTAAGGCTTCAAGAACAACGCAGCAATGAACTCACGGAAGTAGCTGACGTTTCGAACCCACTTCTGTGCTCCTTGCCCCTCGGCACCAGGTGGACAGGGTACTTCTCGTTTTCCAAGGAATTCCTCAATGAGAGCCAAGGTGGAAAGGCTCTGGCTAAAATGGAAAACATTTGATTCAGATGTCTCCACAATCAAGGGAACATTGTTCCCAATAGTTCCATACTCTTGTGCAACCTTCTGACAGTGAGAGCTCCCACAACCTACCACTGATAAGAGAAGATAAGAGTCAGCTGTTGGCTGGGTTTGGTGGGCAGATCATCTGAAGTCAGAATTTCAAGACGAGCCTGGCCAAAATGATGAAACCCCATTTCTACTAAAAATCCAAAAAAAAATTAGCCTGGCATAGTGGCATGTGCCTATAGTCCCAGCTATTCAAGAGGCTGAGACAGGAGAATCGCTTGAACCTGGGAGGTGGAGGATGCAGTGAGCCAAGATTGTGCCACTACACTCCAGCCTGGGCAACAAGAGCAAAACTCCATCTTCAAAAAAAAAAAAAAAGAGGTAACTTTGCCAAGAAGAACCAAGGGTATCCTTCCTAGCACATAATGGGAGCACAGTCATCCACATACTATTACCACCACACTGAAAAAATGCTCTCTTTGTTCTTCACTTCTACAATTCAAAATTTCTGGGGTTTAGCTCAATGCAAAGTAACAAATACCATTCGGCATTAAGCACTACCACTACATGAATATACATCAGATATGACTATGCGTTTTACTAGAGAGACAAAATCACTCAACTGCTTCCAAGATACGCAGAGAGCCAGTGTCCTTAGAAGTGATCCATAAAATCGGCTGGGCGCAATAGCTCACACCTATAATCCCAGCACTTTGGGAGGCAGGCAGATCAGGAGTTCGAGATCAGCCCGACCAACATGGTGAAACCCCATCTCTACTAAAAATACAAAAATTAGCCAGGTGTGGTGGCACACACCTGTAATCTCAGCTACTCAGGAGGCTGAGGCAGGAAAATCGCTTGAACCCAGGAGGCAGAGGTTGCAGTGAGCTGAGATCCCACCACTGCACTGCAGCCTGGGCAACAGAGCGAGACTCTGTCTCAACAAAACAAAATAAAACAAAAAGAAGTAATCTACAAAATCAACAGTAGGCTCTCCCCAAGCCAGAATCACTGCTGTCCTCTCAAAGTGTGTCACATGTGGAAGCCCTCGCTCTGAGGTTCCTGAGCCAGCCTTCTGCCACTTGGCTCTTCTTGGAGCATAATCTGGTCAGAATAAAGGAGGAGGAGCAATCAACTTTGTTTTCCTGGGAAGTCAAACCTTAACGAGACTCAAAGCTCTAGCCAGACTGAGAATGTAACTCTGGAGCAAACCACATCACTTATTTGGTCTTATGGACGAAGCTTAAAACTAAAATAAAAGGTTGGGGAGGGACAGAAGCAGATTAGACCAAGGGTCAGCAAACATTTTCTGTAAAAGGACGGACAGCAAATATTTTAGGCTTTCTTGACCACGTAGAGTCTCTGGTGCATATTCTCTGTATGTTTTTTATAAGCCTTTAAAAATGTAAAAACTGGCCGGGCACAGTGGCTCATGCCTGTAATCTCAGCACTTTGGAAGGCCAAGGAGGGCAGATCACCTGGAGTCGAGAGTTCAAGACCAGCCTGACCAACAGAGAAAAACCCCTTATCTACTAAAAATGCAAAATTAGCCAGGCATGGTGACTCGTGCCTGTGGTCCCAGCTACTCAAGAGGCTGAGGCAGGAGAATTGCTTGAACTTGGGAGGCAGAGGTTGTGGTGAGTCAAGATCATGCCACTGCACTCCAGCCTGGACAACAGCAGCAAAACTCTGTCTCAAAATAATAATACAACAAAATAAAAATGTAAAAACTATTCTTAGCTCTCTAAGTGAAGAAAAACAGGCCAGAGTTTGAAGGATTTAACTCCAATGCTAACCTAGGGTTCTAAATTGTTCTCTGTGGAGAAATCAAAGTGGGCAATGAAAGGAACTCCAAAGACAGACCTAACATGAAAGAAGGTCCTCACAATAAGCACTTGGCAGGGGCTGGCGGGCCTTAATTGGTCTTGTTTTGTGGTGGTTTTGTCATTCTTTATCATAGACACACAGAATCAGCTGGAAGTTTCTCATCCTACCTAAACACAAGGATCTTGTCCCCAAGCTTCACACTTTCCTCAATCAGGTGGAAAAGCAGTACCATCTTGGGAGAGTTTTCTAAGACTCCAGTCTGGTAATTTGTCAGAAGGTCCTTGGCCTGCAAGAGAAAAACAAAGCAGCTTGGAGCAGGTCCAAGGCCAGATCACTAGAAATAAAATTCTTCTATTCCAAGGCAGCAGCTCACTGGCTACCTTTATAATTACATACAGAGACCCTAGCTGTGCATCCCTACCCTCTCCCCAGGCACGGCTTGTACCATCCCCTCTTCAGTAGTTTATGGTTCCTGAAGGATCTGTTTGACTCACCCATTCATATGTGACGATGTTGTTGCCTCGCTCCTGGAAAGGGTTGAAGCCAACACCCTGTAGAAACTTGCTATTTGTTGCCTCTCCCATTGAGGAAGCCAAGGTGCTATCCTCTCCCTTGCCTTTTGTTCCCTGTGGTGGACAGCGGGCACTGGTCCCTGCAGAGCCAAGCTCTTCCACGTCTAGGTCCTGCTCATTGGCCAAGCTCTCCTTCTGAAGGGCTTCATACAGCACATCAGGGTGATTCCAGATCTGAGGTTCAAGGAAAGGGAGAGGAGCCACAGGACAAAAAATACTCCAAGGGTGTCCCAGGGAATCTGGAAACACACACTTGCTCAAATACACACCTCCCACAGCACACACTGTCACATCAAAAATTAGTCAGAGCCCTTCACAGCCAATGAGCCTGCATATTTGCTTTGATTACCAGTTCTGATCACCATGACACATGAGTGGGATCATTCATACCAGGAGCCAGACCAGTAAGTATGTTTGCTACATAATCAAAAAAGCTGTCACAAGCCTTTTTGACATTCTTATTCAAATAAGAGCAAGAATGTTCCAGTTTCACAGTGTGGTTACAATGTGCTACTGTATAAAACTATAGACAAAATGTATCTGACTTATAGCAAACCAATCACATATCATTTCAGGGAGTATTCCTAGCAAGAGTTGAGAACTCCCAGGAGAAGAGAGGAAAGGAAAAGGAAGGATGCAGTGATATCGAAGCATCATCACAGACCTCATTTGCCTTAGTTTCCTGGTCCTGATCCAGGACTTTGGCTACAAAAGAAATATTTGGAAACCCTCCTGTCCCCAGACACATAACCTTCTGCTGACTTTTTAAAGAAGTGGTCAATTAAGAATAATACCTAATAGGTCTGCTGAAGAGTAGCCAGGAGTAGAGGTATAAAGTCAATGAAACAGGCAATTGTGTGTACAAATCCCAACAAAAGAATGAGAGGTCTCATTCTGATTAAGTATGGAATCCAATGGAAGGCACCCCTAATAACTTGTCTAAGCTATATATCTCTTTGATTCTGATTATGCTAGCAGTCAAAAATGATGCCCTACAATATTCTTCCATCAACCCCCTTTTCTAAGTGAAAAAAATCAGTGATAAAGGAAGTGATTTTTCAAATTTGGTATAACAAGTTATTCAGCTGCGGTGCACACTGCAGGAAGCATCAGTTATATTACACTGTGTGAATGGCACCTCTAGGAGTTGTGTGGTACACCACCAGCACCTCTCTCCTTGGAGACCCTAAACCTCCAGTGCAGTGAACTGAGGTGGCCCCCTCTCACTTTAGTCTTCCTTTATTGAAGACTCTCAGTAGGAGTAACTCACTTGGGACCATGTGTATCCTTAATCCCCATCTCAATCTTCCCTGAAGCCCCAATGCACCTTGCAACACACGCAGAAAGCCTTAAGGGGGTTCAGCCCCAGCCAGCCACTGGTACCACAGTCCCGAAAGCGATCCATGAACTGTGTGTACAAATCTCGCTGGATCTTCGAGAGCCGCACAAGGATCACATTTTCTTCCTTGGCAGGGAGATGAATCTTCAGCACAGTGTGGCCTCTCCTATGGAGGCAAACACATCAGAAGTGGCAAGGTAGTGTGGCCAGGAGGGGTCAGCACAAAATAAAAACAGAGCCCTTTGCACTCCTGCCACAGCTCCCTCTTGAGGATCTCAACATGCACTGCAGCCGTGCAACAATGCAGCGAGGTTCAACCACCACCAAGAAGAAATTCACCTAAAGGATGAACACTAACACTAAGAGGCAGAATGACCTGTCCCAGGTCATGTCTGACTGCATGAAAAAGACAGGGGAACTTTAGGTTCTTACTCGAATTTGGGCTGCCTCTCTGAGCTTTCGTAACATATGCCATCTCAAGAAGGGAAAATGAGGGGACTGCTTTAGACTAGCATAAGGCATACCTACTGAGATACCAAAACTGGTAAGGCCATACCCCCAGAACCATTTCTAGTCTTCCACCCAAGTCAGCAGAATGGTAGCTTTTTTTTGCTTCTCTCAGCAAGTAAGACAGGTATCTCCAAGACCTTTAAAGACAACTTTTGAGAGAAGTGCTTCTCGGCCAAACTTTCAGATAACTGAAACAGTGGATATGCACCATTTGCCAGCTTGTCACAGGAAGCAAAGTTTTACTACTGCCCCTAGGAAGGGGCCCTCCTACTCCAATACCCCATCCTGTATAACAAGCTTGGCATGCCTTTGGCAACAGGGCCCACCGAAAATTCAGGAAGCAGGACCCTGAGGATGGCTCACCTCTGCACAAAGCCCTCCAGAAGACTGTGCAAGACATGGCTTCGGTACCGCATGAGGCGCACGTCCTGAGGCGTGCTGTCAATACACTGCCCATTCAGGATAGGGCGTTCAAACATGTTGCTGAACTCCTGCCGAGTGCCAAGGAAGTCTGGGCGCACAAAGTCCACCATGCACCAGTACTCAATGAGGTTGTTCTGCAGAGGGTACCCAGTCAGCACCACCCGGCGGCGAGAGCGGATATTCTTCAGAGCCTGTGAGGTGCTGGCCTGGCAGTTTTTGATGCGGTGTCCCTCATCACAGATTACTACATCTGGGCCAGGGCGGCATAAAGCCTTCTCAAACTCTAGGAAGAGAAGAGGATCCAGAGTCAGAAGGTGACAGGGCCTGCTCTTAGTCAATAATATGAGAAGTAGGGGTGCACCCTGGAGGAGACAGAAGAAATGAAGGAAGCAGGAAAGCAAGAGTCAGCCCCCCTTGGTGAGAGGGAGCCAGCCATTCAAGCTCCTGCACACTTGGTATGACACTAATCTGGCTGTTGACTCTTGCAATAAATATCCCTTTCCCCCATTCCTTTCCTTATTTTATTTTTCTTTATGTTAAAAGTACAACTGACTTGCATTCCTAGGGCTTAGACCAACTGGGCAGCAGAGAGAGGGACCTTTCAGAGTGCCAGCCTAGGATTAAAAATGCATCTGGATGAGACCAATGGGAATAGTCCAGACACTTTAGTAGGCTCTCACCATTGCCAGCATCTTGACTCCATCTGAGGGCTGGCTGGTAGGAGCTAGCTAAAGGACAGGATCTTCCCGCAGTTATTCTCCAGTCATTGCTAAATGGCAAATTCATCCCAGTTCTACCATAGAAGCAAACCTAGAACGAACATAATCTCATAGATGAAGAGACTTATAAAATGAAATTGCCGCTGAACCCTTAAAAACTTTCTTCCCCAAATAAGCAAAGGCCCCTGAGAAGATGGAGTAGAATTAGAACTATGAGAGGAAGGAATGGTTTTCACTAAAAGAAACCGGGATAAATTCTTTTTTATAAATTCACAAACAATAGTATTACTACTTTGTCTTTATATTAGTGATTTAAACACTTTATATTTTCTCAATGCTTTCTCAGAACATCTCTAGAAAGTGGTAAAGGAAATGGTTACTCTTCTAACTGTTCTGTGAGAGAAACGGACAGATGAACAGAGGAATCTCCCCCAAGCCAGTGTGTGGCCTGGCCTGGCCTAACTAGAACTGCATGGATTGCAGAGAAAGCAGTACCTTCTACGAGCCATCGGAAGTTATTCTACTGATCTTGGGAACCAGGATTTTTGGTTCATGATAACAATTCACATCAATAATGCACTTTACATCTGACTAGGTGCTATCAGCAGACACAACTACTTTTTTCCTGAAACATCACCAAGAGTATTCCTAGGATAGGCTACCCACCTCTCCGAAACTCCTGCTGCCGATCTTCCTCATCCAGATCAATGATGACTGGGTGAGAACGTTTCTTGGTTTTCTTCGGTCTACCTGTGGCAAATGATTTCTTCAGAGTGAGAAGTCTGTACATTTCATACCCCATCAGCAGCACCCCACCCTCTGACACCCAATCAGCCATCACTTTAGCACGAGATGCCATCGTCCTGTAAGATAAACAGAGAAAATTGTGTGAGCTGTGAATTTTATCTCAAGAATTATTGTTTCTGCTGCTCCCCAAAAAGAATTGCTCACTATCAAAGCTGTGTTGATGTACATTCAGAACTTATTACCAAGGATTTCATGTGGCAGCAAGCACAGGGCTGGCCTACTGCCCAAGGACCTCCCATCATCCCCAGAAACTAACTGCACTGAGGATGAACTGGATCATTGATGGTGATTAAACAGCAAGAAACATAGCAATTCAACTACATAAGGCGAGAGAAAATGACAACCCCCTCGGATATTCAGGAATGACTACAATTCAACATTTGAAAGAGCATTTTAATCCCATGATAAATACAAGGTGACAGAAGGAAGGGCAACATTCTGCAGTTCACTTGCCTGGGGTCAAGTGAATAAAGAGCTACAAACAGTAAAGAGGAAACAGCAGAACAGACCAGATGACCCTCAGTGCAGTCACTCCACTTCCACTCCACTGAGCCCTCACTGTATTTCACTGACTGCACGTGGACTAAAAATCCTGAAATCTAAGAAAGCAGAGTAGGTGATCAACCACCTGTGAGGTCAACTCCTCATTTTTATGTGTGCGTCCAAACATCACAAAAGGCATCCTTTGCAGAAAATTCAGAAAGGCTACTTTCTCAATTATCTACACCAATGAGAGGAAAGGTTAGCATGTAGAGCTGGCTTGTTTGATCAAGAAATAGCTTTAGACTTTTGGAAATCAGGTTGACTTTATGGCATACATATACAAATAATTTTATTTAAATCTTAAACACAGCAAGGCTTGCACCTTTCAAAGCTTTGGGAGTTGCACCATTAAAGGTCAAATGCAGACCAGTGCTTAAAAGAAGAGACTGGCTGGGCATGGTGGTGCACCCCTGTAATCCCAGCACTTTAGGAGGCCGAGGTAGGCGAATCACGATGTCAGGAATTCGAGACCAGCCTGGCCAACATGGAGAATTTTTATATTTTTAGTAGCCTGTCACTACTAAAAACATAAAAATTATCCAGGAATGATGGCGACTGCCTGTAATCCCAGCTACTTGGGAGGCTGAGGTGGGAGAATTGCTTGAACCCAGGAGGCAGAGGTTGCAGTGAGCCAAGATTGTACCACTGCGCTCCAGCCTGGGCGACAGAGCAAGACTTCATCACTAAAAAGAAATTGATAATTAGGCTTTTAAAAAAAGTGAAATGTAATAAATAAAAAATTAGACAGTGGAGGCTGGGTGCAGTGGCTTATGCCTGTAATCCCAGCACTTTGGGAGGCTGAGGCAGGTGGATCACCTGAGGTCAGGAGTTCGAGACCAGCCTGGCCAACAGGCAGAAACCCTGTCACTATTAAAAATATAAAAATCAGCTCAGTGTGGTGGTGGATGCCTGTAATAGCAGCTACTCGGGAGGCTGAGGCAGGAGAACTGCTTGAACCGGGGAGGCAGAGGTTGCAGTGAGCTGAGATCATAACACTACACTCCAGCCTGGGCAACAGAGTGAGACTTCGCCTCCAAAAAAAAGAAAAAAAATATACAGTGGAAAGATCCATTTTTTCATATTGAATTTTACTACTATAGGCATGTGAAATACAACTATGCCCACTTATTTTTCAAGATATAAAAGCCTCCTGTGCATTGGAACCGAATCATTTTCTGCGTTACCAGAAAAAAAATAAAAAGCTTCCTGACTGGGCATGGTGGCTCACACCTGTAATCCCAGCACTTTGGGAGGCTGAAGTGGGCGGATCACTTGAGGTCTGGAGTTCAAGATCTGCCTGACAAACATGAAGAAACACTGTCTCTACTAAAAATACAAAAGTAGCTGGGCATGGTGACGCATGCCTATAGTCCCAACTACTCAGGAGGCTGAGGCAGGAGAACTGCTTGAACCCAGGGGGCAGAGGTTGCAGTGAGTCAAGATCACGCCATTGCGCTCCAGCGTGGGCAACAAGAGCAAAACTCTGTCTCAAAAAAGAAAAAAAAAAAGCCTCCTAAAGCAGAACACAAGAAATTTATCAAGCTACTTAACTCTGGCTTACCTGAAAAGCTTGGTAGAAAAAAAAATGAGTAGCAAGAACAAAGAAAGTGACACATCAAGAAACCAAAATGAATGTGGGCACACAGGCTACATACTCAAATAGAGTGCCTTAACATCAGATCCCAGGCAGAAGTCTAAAAGGAAAGGGGCAGAGAGGAAAGGGAAGGCCACCTACTTGTGCTCATCATTCAAGATGTGAACTTTAAAGAACCGAGGCTGGACTTCTTCAGGCTTGTTGTCAGCTGGAAGGGCTTCAGGAGGTGGAAGCCACATGTTGAACTCTGCCAGCCAATTCTGAAGAGTATTAACCTATTAGAAAGCCAAGTCCAAAAAGAGTTTCATTGGAACAAACTCAGAGCTAAACTCATCAAGCTTTTTAGTGCCCAGTAAAGGCATCAACCCAGAGCTCTTCAGGAGTGACTTAGTGGAGCCTTTCCAAAAACTCTTACCGGCACAATGGCAAGGACTGTTTTGGCTGGCGTGTGGCGGAAGAGGACGTCGATAAAAGAGATCACTTGCAAAGTTTTCCCCAGACCCATGCTGTGGGCCAGAATACAGCCAAAGCCACTGCTAGTCTTAAACCTCTCCAGGGACTCCACTAGATTATCGTAAAGGAACCGGATCCCACCAATCTGACAAGGGACAAAGACAAATGTCAGAGGGACTCGCAAAGATGAGGGCTCCAGTTTTCACTCACTTTGAAATTAGTAAGAATTAGGTAAATAAAAAGGCATTATAATAGACAGCAGGTGTGGATGGCCATAATAGTTTCCCTGTACCTTGACTGGTCTATTTACTGGTGACAGTCCTCTTGGAGAAAACACAGAAAAGCTTTCACTAGTACAGTATAATGCCCCATGTAATGCATGAATTGGTAGTGTCAAATTCCTGACAGGATCTTACAGTCAGCCTGGCTTTCTTCAGCCTTGGGAAGCTCACCCTCTTAAGGCAGCGCATTCCATAGGAGTAGTTTTGTTGTTGTTGTTGTTGTTGTTGTTTTGTTTTTTTGAGATGGAGTCTCGCTCTCTCACCCAGGCTGGTGACAGAGCAGTGGTGCTATGGCTCACTGCAACCTCCACCTTCTGAGTTCAGGCGATTCTCCTGCCTCAGCCTCCAGAGTAACTGGGACTATAGGCATGCGCCACCATGCCCGGCTAATTTTTGTATTTTCAGTGGAGACAGGGTTTCACCATTTTGGCCAGACTGGTCTTGAACTCCTGACCTCAGGTGATCTGCCTGCCTTGGTCTCCCAAAGTGCTAGGATTACAGGCGTGAGCCACTGTACCCAGCCACATAGGAGCAGTCCTTATTGTTAGGGGTTCTTAGGCCTAGGAGTTCAAGATCAGCTTGGGCAACATGGTGAAACCTCATCTCTATAAAAAAAAAAGTACAAAAAATTAGCTGGGTGTGGTGGTGTGGTGGTATAGGCCTATAGTCCCAGCTACCTGGAAGGCTGAGGTGGGAGGATCGCTTGAGCCAGGGAAGTCAAGGCTGCAATGAGCAGACATCATGCCACTGTACTCCAGCATGAGCAACAGAACAAGAACCTGTCTCAGAAAAAACAAAAAAAAAAAAAGCGTTCTTAAGCTGAGTCAATGTCTGTCTTCATGGAACTTTTACTCACTTATCCTGGCTCCAGGCTCTGGATCAACACAAACTACCCTGCTCCCTCCTATCAGAAAGTCCCTCCATCTTCTGACTCTCACATCTCTTCTAGATCCAGACCTTCCTAATCAAACTGCTGCTTTCCAGAGAGCACCTCAGTCATGGAATCCCACAGAAAGAGACTCAAATTATTAGGTCAAGAGACTCAGTGCTTTCTATGGGGTAGGGCAAACCTAAGGCTTGTTTCTTCCCTTTCCCCATCCCTTCCTATTCATCAGGTATCCCAGAGCATCAACTGCTAGAAGGAACTATGAGGTCTTTCCAATAGCTGAACAAGCTGCTCTTGGTACCAAACAAGTATTTCATGGGCTATGACACTAATAACCACCAACAGGTAATGTTCACAGCAAGGAAACAGAAAGGAAGAAGAGAAAAGAATCAAGGTTTGCTGTACCTGATGAGGTTTCACAGCCCGTGCCAACTGTGGGGCAAGGAAGACATTTTCCTCCTCTGGAGGGTGGTTTAAGTTGACAAGGACCCGCCCAAGGGTGTCACGCTGGTTTAAGACATCATTGACGTGGGTGCCACCCTTCTCTTCTTCCTCATCCTCTTCACTGACAGACTCACTGCTGTCTACAATGTGCAGAGTGTCCTCCTCTCCAGAGCTCAGTTCAATCACCTCTGAGACAGCAAAACAAAAGTAAAACCAAATATCTAGGGAGTAAAGATAATTAACTGCACCCGGTCAGATGAGAAGACTATAGAAGCTTAAAGTCAGAACTTGTCATCACTTATTAAAATTTTGATTTTTACTATTTCTCTCTTCCAGCTTCAAGTTGAGACAAGCAAAAAACTTATATTTATCAAGGAGAAACAGGGAAATTTGTCAAAGCCACACCCCAAACTGAATGAGGAAGGACTGGACTCTTCAAAGTACAGCCAATCTCAGGATGAACACCAGGTCAGGAAAAAGGGAGGTACCTCTGGCTTGATCTTACCATCTCGACTGCTTTTTTCATCCTCACTGCCGCTGCTACTGTCCAAACAAATGACTTCCTGGGCCAAGACCCGAGGAGGCAGTTGGTGACCATCACTTGCTCGTAAAGCAATTTCCTCTAGAAATGCAAAATGAAAGAGAATGACATCAAGACCACATTTAGCTCTAATATTTTTCCCAAAACAATTTACCGCCCCTTTTCTCTTCTAGCTCTCATGGGGAGTATCCACTGAGAAGAGAAGCAGAGCGCATTCTCAGAAACCTCAGCCCTCCTTCCAAATTCCCTTTCTCTACTGGTTTTTACTTCCTGCTATTCACCTGACCACTAGAAAGGGTCCCAATCACTTGGCAAGTTAAAATCACAGTTATGAGAAAAAAATCTAAATCTATTTAAAGAGTACATTTTTATTCATTTTAACTCTTTAAATAATCTTCTGATTGTGTGCTCTGAAGAAGCTGAATGACTTTAAAGGCTTCCTGAGAGGCCACAGTCTTATTCCAGATCTGTTTTTGACCACTGTGTACACCTTGGGATTCTTCCTGCTTCAGGAGGGCCTGAAGCACAGGGCCTTCCCTGCCATGTCCACTGCTTACCAGGGAGGAACTCCAGCGGGACAGTAGGAATAGGGGCTGCATAATCTTTCCTCTGCTGCTCCAGGCGCTTCCTTCTTTCCAACTCTTCTTGCTGTGCTGCTTTGGTAACAGGCTCCAATTGATCCTCCCGGAGTAGCTTTCTAAACATTCACATAAGAGACAGCACTTGGGTTCAATTAAAATTTGGGCAATGTAATGGTAAGCTAAAGAGAGACATAGCCATTGACAATCTCAGAGAGTTGAGATGGGAGAAGGAGAAGCAACACCAGTCCCACCACACCCATGAAAGGAGCAGCATTCAAAAAACAGGACATCAAGCTAGATGGTTCTAGGCTAACATACGTTCCATATTATTTAACTCCCTGACAGATGCCCCTACCAACTCATCTCTCCACATAATAAATCAAGAATAAACTAGAGTAACATTTGATTCATAAAACTTTTTTAAAGCAGTATAAAAATAGTGTTGTTGGCCCGGTGCAGTGGCTCACGCCTGTAATTCCAGCACTTTGGAAGGCCGAGGCAGGTGGATCACCTGAGGTCAGGAGTTTGAGACTAGTAGCCTGACCAACGTGGTGAAACCCTATCTCTACTAAAAATACAAAAATTAGCCAGGTGTGGTGGTGTACACCTGTAGTCCCAGCTACTCAGGAGGCTGAGGCAGGAGAATCGTTTGAACCCAAGAGGCAGAGGTTGCAGTGAGCCAAAATTGTGCTACTGCACTCCAGCCAAGGTGAAAGAGTGAGACTTCATCTCAAGGCAAAAAGTGTTGTCATGTAGAAAAGAAACTAGGATTGGCCGGGCACACTGGTCCATGCCTGAAATCCCGGCACTTTGGGAGGCGATGGTGGGCAGATCACTTGAGGCCAGGAGTTTGAGACCAGCCCAGCCAACATGGCAAAAGCCTGTCTCTACTACAAATACAAAAATTAGCCGGGTATGGTGGCAGGCACCTATGGTTCCAGCTACTCAGGAGACTGAAGCACTAGAACTGCTTGAACCCGGGAGGCAGGGCTTGCAGTGAGCCAAGATCGAACCACTGTACTCCAGCCTGGGCAACAGAGAGAAACTTTATCTTTTAAAAAAAAAAAAAAAAAAAAAGATATGAAAAAAATAAAAGAAACTACATTTACAGGGATTCTATATTATTTCCGAACTTAGAGTAATATTTCAAGTTGTCATTATTTAAAAAAAAAAAAAGTGGAGGCAGAAGGAGAAAAAGATATTCATTTCCTTTCAATGGCACACATTGTTATTTAATAGAAGGAAGAACTGTTGGGGATTCGGATAGTTAAAGCAGTTCACATTTTTGCTCATCTCTTAGAGCCTTGCTTTCGGTCAGACAGTCCTCTACCATTTGAAGTTGACATCTAAGAAGATGAGACCTCAACTTTAAAAAGTCTCCTCTAGTTTTGAGACATTAAAAAAAAATAAAGAAAAAAAAACAGAAAATCCAGTTCAGAGCACCCTATCATCTTTGGGCTGCCACCTGGGACCTCCAGAGAGTAGAACACCCCCAAGCAGTGGTCAAGGCCTTTCTCATCCTTCCTACAGTCCTCTGAAAGCTCAGATCCAGCGGTCCTGAGCTGCACCGCCACTAGTAATGGACACACAGCTGGCACTTTTCTCCTTTGGAAAGAGAACTCTCCTTCCCAAATCAATCTTTTTGCTATTGACAGCCTTAGGATGAAGGTAAAACCTCTATTCCCTTCCCTCTCCTCTTGCACAGAGCATGGCTCACCGTATGTTTCTTCTCATGTGGGAGGGCTTTTGAGCTCTCTTCTTTTTGGGGTCCTCGGAGGCTAGATTGTTGCCTTGGTGGCGCCTAAGCTGCTCTGAAGGCTCAGAATGAGATGAGGTAGTTGAAGTGCACCGCGGCGGCTGCTGCCCATCTTCTCCCAGCTGGGCATGCTCAGTGCCACACATGCCTTCCAGGGATGGGTCTGAAAAACAAGGGGAAAGACGTTGCTTTACAGGGGTAGGGGAATGAATGTCGATGCCAGACACACCGGGGTTCAAATCTCAGCTCAGCAACTTATTAGCTGGTAATCTAAGGCAAATTATTTATACCTCTCTGAACATCAGTGGATGTATCTACAAAATGACGACAGTGAGGCCCACACCTCAGAGCTATTATGAGGACTGAATGTGTGCATGCCTAGACCCAAGCCTGGCTCAGATTAAGCCCACAATGAATGATTGTCATCACTTTTACTAGAGTTTAGTGCTATGATCAGATTGAGGAAGTTTCCTGGCCTCAGAATGCTCAGAAAGGGACAGTCTAAGAAGCTAGGTTCCAAATATAGCTCACACTCAGTTGTGTGACTCTAGGCATTTACCTCTCATTTACCTCTCATCTGCCAACAGGGAGTATATTCCTCCTTTCAGTGTCTTAAAGCATTCACTCATTTAACTTGCCAACCATTTAAAGAGGGCCTACAATATGGCAAGCACTGTCCTAGATACTTCCAGGGATATTTGTAAGACTACTTCCCTTCAAGTAGTTTGTGTTCTGCTTACGGAGACAGGGCATGTACAAATACAGACTCAACATGGCAAGGTGTGCTAAATGTCACAGGAAGGGCAGATCAACAGATATAAAGACTTCAAGGTTGAAGACATCACAGGAATATGAAAGATACTAATTCATGTGTTGATCACAGAGGAATCATATAGAAGGTAAAATACAAGTCAGGCCTTGAAAGATTTCTAAAGGTAATGTCTTAAAACATAGTTGGGGGTCAGGCACAGTGGCTCATGTCTGTAATCCAGCACTTTGAGAGGCCAAAGCAGGTGGATCACCTGAGGTCAGGAGTTCGAGACCAGACTGGCCAAAATGGCGAAACCTCATCTCTAGTAAAGATACAAAAATCAGACAGGTGTGATGGCAGGTGCCTATAATCCCAGCTAGTGGGGAGGCTGAGGCAGGAGAATCGCTTGAACCCAGGAGGCAGAGGTTGCAGTGAGCCATGACTATGCCACTGCACTCCAGCCTGGACAACAGAGCAAGACATCTCTCAAAAAAAAAAAAAAAAAAGAAAAGAAAAGAAAAGAAAAGGAAGAACAAGCGAACTAAAACAATGTCTGGCATATAATAAACACTATATTTTTTTTTTTTAAAAAAAACAGCTACTACTTTTACTATGATTACTATTATTTCAGGTATTAGGTATGGATTTAGTTTTTTACATTGCCTCTTTTCTACCTTATAATAACTCTACAAGAGTTTTGCTCCCCTAATTCTAAATATGAGGCATTTTTGCTCTCCTAATTCTAAATGTGAGACACTGAAGCCCTGAAAAGTTAAAAATACTTGCCCATGGGTATATAAGAAATAAGCAGAAAAACAGGAGTAGGCAGTTAAAAGTATGAGCTTTGCCGGGCATGGTGGCTCATGCCTATAATCCCAGCATTTTGGGAGGCCAAGGCGGGGAGATCACCTGAGGTCCAGAGTTCAACACTAGCCTGACCAACATGGAGAAACCCCGTCTCTACTAAAAATACAAAATTGGCGAGGCATGGTAGCACATGCTTGTAATCCCAGCTATTCAGGAGGCTGAGCCAGGAGAATCACTTGAACCCAGGAGGCGGAGGTTGCAATTAGCCGAGATTGTGCCACTGTATTCCAGCCTGGGCAACAAGAGCAAAACTCCATCTCAAAAAAAAAAAAGTATTAGCTTTGCAGTCAGGCAGTGCTGGCTTTAAATCCTGTAGGTCTATGTTTGCGGGCATAACTTCTCTGAGCCATAGTTCCCCACATCTGCAAAACAGGTATGTCAATGGTTCTCTTATGGAAGATATTATTCTTCAAACCCTTGTCTGCCTAACTCCATGAAACTCCATACTCCCAACCACATTGAACAGTCTGGGAGCATGCAAATCTCTGGGGCCTTAGTCAGCCATGCTAAGTGGCGATAATTGTGTGGAGAACTCAAATCTCAACTATATATTCTAATCAAAGATCAGAAATAAGAAAGCAAAGGGGGAAGCAGAAATGACATCTGCAAACTGTATCTTGCCATCACAAAATGAATGTTTCTTATACACACATAACACCTCCTTGAAATTGTACACTACACTTTCACGTTAAACCTCTCCATGTGAGACTACTACAAACCTGTCACTGTCGCCTCTCCTGCTCCCTGCTTTCAGTTTAGCCTAACACACATATGAGCATCTGCTAGGTATCAGGCCCTGTGCCAAGGCACAGTGGAATAGACCACATGGGGAAACACATATGCAATGCAGAAAGTGCCTAAGATCATTAACACTTAAGAAAAAGACACCAAATCCAGCCTGACCTAGGGCTGGGCATGGGGGTGCTTCCTTGGGAAGAGTGAGACCCAGGTTTGGTCTCACAGAATGGGTAGGCACCAGCTAAAATGAAGGAAGTAAAGCAGCAACAGGAAGGACCTTCCAACCTAACAACCACTTCCCTTCCCCTTTCCTGGAGCTCCTCATCCAAGGCAGACTTAGGTGAGAATCCAAGATCCTTCTCTGGATGCTGGTACAGAAGTCAACCCTGTCCTGGGGAAGACTACTTCCAAACCTCTCCTTCCTAGCACTCTACTTTCCACTGTCCTGGTGTTTGAGTGGAGAGGAGAGGCTAATGCGGTTACTGTAAAAGTGGACGGATGAGTGGGTCTCACATGTGGATGCCCAGGATTCACTACCTGGCAGCAACTTCCTTGGCCCTCAACTGAGAGACCACTGAAGATTTAGGTAGACAGATTTCACTTTTTGAAAAGCAAAGGGGAAATGGTCAAGAAAGGCATCAGACAAGAAATGTTCATGATGGGACACTGCAATACCATTAACATGAGCAAAAGGTTAAAACATCACACCCCCTTCTCCATTACCACCAGTCTATAGCAGGACTTTTACGAAAGCCTTCCCAAAGAAAGCAGAGCCCAGGGTGGCAAGAAGCAGTAGGAATGTACTGTGTGTGTGAGCCTTGGCTCATGGACATGTTCTACCTGCTGAGGAAACAAGGTGCCATAGCTTATGTGTCCAGCCAGACATGAGAACTAAAAGAGAAGTTTCAAAGTAGAGCTCCAAGTCTGACTAAGCTGCCCTCCCAAATTCACCAAGCTCTTCAAACAGTGCTCTCCAATTTCCACCTAAAACATCATAGGAGCAAGTTCAGCAATTCTGTTTTCCTTTAAAAGAACTATCATTCCTTCAAGCCCCATACCCCTCCAAAGAGCTAATACTTCCACAGCATTTTCATTTAATACTGCTGTCAATTTCTTCCTACTTCACAGCCCTGAATTATTCCCTCCTAAAAGGTGAGGCCATCAAATTCCTCTTCCCAAACAGCTGGCTGGGCAGCAGATTCCCCAAGAGGGGATACCCACTGCTAAATGACTACTTCCACCAATACTGCAGCTTGGTGTACAACACACCAACTACACTTGGGGCTGGGTTGGCACACTTCAATTTAGTGTTTTGCTGGGTCCTCTGGCCTGGTTCTGATAATGATCTCTGATGCTCTCCTTGTCTTTTTTGTTTTGTTTCTATTTCACTAGCGAATTTATTGAGCAATCGCTTGGAGGAGCAATTGGAGGAAAGGTTAGAGAGTAGGCAGATAGGACAGAGTCAGAAAATAGAGGGCAAGTCCAAGAGGTTTGAAATTGATCTGCTGGGCAGAGGTAACGTTTTGCCAACTGTTGTATATCCTTGTTCTGGCGTCTGCTTGTGAAATGGGCTGTTCTTGGGAGGAGAAAGAATAGAACCTGCTGACCTTGCACTATCACCAACAGATTTATTATCAAACATTCACCCCAAGTTATAAGGCTTGGCTGTGAACTCCTGTCTGGCATGGGGCTGAATGTGGCCAAGTGCAGTAACAATTTTCAAATCATCAGGCACAATATATATAATTCTCATGCCTTATACAGATGATACAGATCTAAACCAGCTCCTTATCACCCAGCATTCTTTGAGTGAATCCTCAGCTTCTGGGTTCAACTACTTTTAGCTTATTTAAAAAATTTAGTTTAATAACATTTATTTTATTTAATTTAGTGCTAATAATATTAGCACAGATGTGATAATATTTAAAGTTCATTTTCATGTAAACCAATGTCTTTCAAGTGCTTCATTTTTGCTGTTTCATGATGATTATGGTTTTTGTATAACATTGTAACAGATGCTGTACATTTAATAAACCATTCTTAATAATAAATCTGTTATTTCAAGAATTATATAATTAAATTTCCCTCAGTCAAAATGTAACTTTTCACTATGTGTTCTTGTTTTACCTTCTGAACACTGAATCACGTGAATTCACCACCCAAGCAAAGTAATTTAACTTCCAAAAAATAGCCCTCCCCCAGATTCTAGAATGTGACCCGCCAATAGCTACTGAGAGAAAAGAAAAAAGTTGGCCGGGCGCGGTGGCTCAAGCCTGTAATCCCAGCACTGTGGGAGGCCGAGGCGGGTGGATCACGAGGTCAGGAGATCGAGACCATCCTGGTCAACATGGTGAAACCCCGTCTCTACTAAAAATACAAAAAATTAGCTGGACATGGTGGCGCGTGCCTATAATCCCAGCTACTCAGGAGGCCGGGGCAGGAGAATTGCCTGAACCCGGGAGGCGGAGGTTGTGGTGAGCCGAGATCGCGCCATTGCACTCCAGCCTGGGTAACAAGAGCGAAACTCCGTCTCAAAAAAAAAAAAAAAAGAAAAGAAAAGAAAAAAGTTCAATAAGGAGGTAAAGAGATATGTGCTTTGACAAACAACAAATGTAAATTAAATTAGTATCTGCATGGCTTAAAAGTCAATGACTATTACCACCATAGTTCAGGATCACAGAATCAGGCCTAGTTGCAAATACCCCTGAACTTTCTCCTTCACGTGAGCCAGCTGTGAGCAGTAACCACAAGAGTTATATAAACACCAAAGAACACTTATATAAGATTCTTGGGAATGAATTATGAAC